ACTGTTGAAGTCTGCTAATTGTACACTAAGTTTTCTTACAGAAATCTTAAAAATAAAACAAATAATAAAAAGTTTGGTTTAGTGAATAGGTTTAGTTTAGTGAATACAAGCACATATAAACAATAAATGGTTTGGTTTAATGGATACAAGTACACATAAATAATAAATGGTTTGGTTTAGTGAATACAAGTACATATAAACAATAAATGGTTTGGTTTAGTGAATACAAGTACATATAAACAATAAAAAGTTTGGCTTAGTGAGTACAAGTGAATATAAACAATATTTCTGCAATTTTTAAATGCAACCTTTCATTACATACTTGTCAACATCTTTTTTTCAATGAGCAAACATTCTTGTATTAAAAGACCCTTCCTTAGGATATCTCTAATTGTAGGCACCTCTGAAGGATTAAGATTATTGCTTCCATTCAAATACAGTAAAAACTTTGATTCTTTTTTATATAAATTAAATCTTTTAATATTAGAACATTCTTTCTGTTAATATTAAGTAATTACTAGCAATTAACAAAACTGGAAATCGACCAAACTGGAAGTAAATTACTTTTGTACTGCATATTCATGTATGAGGAACAAGAATCCCCCATACAGAAGTAATTTATTTCTATTTTTATTGATTGCTACTATAAATAAATAAAAACATGTTTAAATCAGAATGTGATGTATTGTATTCTTACCAGAGTACATACAGAAGAGTACGTTAGTACAGAAGTGTGCATTATGTACAATGTACACAAAGTACACTTTTGTACACAAAGTACACTATTGTAATATTGTATTAAACATAAAAAATAATGTACACTTCCGTAAAATGCAATAAACATAAAAAATAACTATTTAAAAATAACCTACAACTTTTTAGAACTTTGCATTTCTAAATATATAGGGCCGACAAGGCGGTATTCAAAATTAGAGGTGTAGGGGGATTAGGTGGGGGTAAAAAAAGATCATCCATATCTAAAAACTTCAAAACTTTTTTTTTTTTTTTTAATTCTTTTTAAAAAAAAGTGTTTGTGTGTGTGAGGGGGGAACACATGTGACCTCCTTATCGTCATCAGCCCTGATATGATTTTAATTTTTTAATGCCAATCATGTTATCATTTTTTGATTATTTGTTAGACACAAAAAACGTCAAAATTGAACTAAACTCACTGAGATATTTCTATTTTAAATTTGTGAATTTTTAATGATCTGACATTTTCCTAAAAAAAGTAGTTCCTTTGTAGATATTTTTTATTTATTTATTTATTATATATATTGGCACTATAATATTGATGCTAGAAGTTTCTTTGCTTATTTTTGTTTTAAGTGACGTACCTTTATATATATATATGTGTGTGTGTGTGAGTGTGTGTGTGTATATACAATATATATAGATATATGTATATATTATAGATATATATATGTGTGCGTGTGCATACATATATATATATATATATATATATATATATATATATATATATATATATATATATATATATATATATGCATATATATATGTATATATAAATATATGTATATATATATATATATATATATATATATATATATATATATATATATATATATATATATATATACACACACACACACACATATATATAAGGGTGCATCATTTTATATATATATATATATATATATATATATATATATATATATATATATATATATATATATATATATATATATATATATATATATATATATATATATATATATATATACACACACACACACATATATATAAGGGTGCATCATTTTATATATATATATATATATATATATATATATATATATATATATATATATATATATATATATATATGTTAGTTAGTTAGTAGTTAAACTGTAACTGGACGAATCCAGCAAGTGTGGTTTATCACACTTTGATAGCATTAATCCAAATATATATTAAAAATGTTTAGTTAAAACTTCTTTGATTTGGCGTTATACTCATCTAATCTATTCTTAAATTGATTGACAGTTTTTGAAGTAACAACAGTTTCCGGTAAAGCGTTCCATAAATTGGCCGTACGATTTAATAAAAAATGATGCCGAGGTAAATAGTTCACAATTTCTTTTTCATATTTAAGATTGTGACCTCAAGTAATTGAATCAATTTTAAGCTTCAGTTCATTAATTAAATCAATTTCCTCAAATCTGTTAAGTAATTTAAACACTTGTATTAAATCCCCACGTTCCCTCTTTGTTTTTAATGTAGATATATCTAATATTTCCAATCTCTTTTCATAATTAATTTTCCTTAATGATGGAACTAATCTAGTCATCCTGTGTTGAACTTTTTCCAAAAGTGATGTCTCCTTTAAAATAAGGTGACCAAACAGGTACTGCAAACTCAATAAGAGGTCTAATAAATACCTTATACATTGTTTTAACCAATTTTGCATCAATTCATGAAAATGTCATCTTTAACATACCCATCATTAAATTTGCTTTAGAAGTACTTGATTTAATTTGTTTTTTCTATTTCAAGTTTGTTGAAAAATATACACCTAAATCTCTCTTGCATTCAAAATCTTTCAGTTCAACACCATTTAAAGTATATTTCAATCGCCGATTATTTGTACTGTAATGCATTATAACACATTTACTAGAATTAAAACCCAAGAGCCACTTTTTAGACCATTCCTCTACACTATCCAGATCTTTTTGCAAGCTATTTTCCACATTTATTTCATTCATTTTTGAAAGAATTTTTGTATCATCTGCATACAATACTGACTTATTTTTAAATATATTTGATATATCATTAATAAAAATAACAAATAATAAGGGCCCTATTACGGATCCTTGCAGAGCACCACTGAAGACTTTGCGCCATGAAGAAACAGCATCACCTTGGATAACTCTTTGGATTCTGTTTTTTAAAAAAGCTTCAATCCATTTTAATAATAAACCACTAATTCCATATGAAGATAGTTTAATCAATAGTCTTTTGTGAGCAACAGAATCAAAAGCTTTAACAAAATCTAAAAGTGCTTTATCTACCGAAATACCAATTGATAAATTAAATGAAATATAATCCAACGCCTCTAATAAGTTTGTTGTACAAGACTTCTCTTTAACAAAACCATGTCGTGACTTCGATATTAATTTATATTTCATTAAATATGATTGTATGCAGTCTCTGACTATACCTTCCATAATTTTACAAGTAATTGACGTCAATGACACTGGTCTATAATTTGCAGCTTCTGATTTATCTTCCTTTTTGAATAATGGTGTAATATTTGCTGCTCTCCATTGAGTTGGTAGTTCACTTTTAACAAAAAATTCTATAAAAATTAAAATTAATGGCAATGCTACAGAATCCACACAATTTTTCAAAATCAATGGATGTATAGAATCAACTCCATATGTTTTATTGATATCAACATGTTTCAATCTACTTAAAACATCAAAATAATCTATATTAACTGCATCAATAATAATATCCCCTGAATTCTCGATTTGTGGAAGCTCTTCTGTAGAATTTTCGATGGTAAACACATCTTGAAATTGTTTATTTAAAATTTCAACAATTTCATTTCGATCATTTGTTACGCAACCAGTTTGATCTCTTAATGCTTTAATTACTTGTTTAATCGTTTTTTGACTATTCACATATTTATATAGCAGTTTCGGATTTACCTTTGATTTTTCAACAAGATCATTTTCATAGTAACATCTTGCTTTATGCGATTCTATTTTCACAGTTTTGCAAATATTTTTATATTTCATTACTTTATTCAAATCTTTCCAGTTCGATGATAAATTTTGATAACGCAAATTTTGTTTTGAACGTACTAAAAGACTTACTTCATCAGAAAACCATGGATTATTTTTTCTTTTCTTTCTTGAATTTACGTCAATTATTGGAATTAAAGCATTACATGATTGACTAATTTTTTTGATAAACAGATCATACATAAATTGAACTGATAACCCATCAAATAAATAATTCCAGTCAATTTTATCAATACTTAGGCTTATTTGTGGATAGTCACATCTACTGTAATCAAATTTATACTTTGGATAATTTTCCATTGCAATAGCATCAAGGTTAAATTTACAAGTTAAAACCAAATGTCCATGATTTATATTTCCTAGAACTGGGTTTGACTCAAGTTGTTAGACTCGTTCATTGTTTTTTGTAACATTTTGTGCATTTTGAAAGGTTGGGATTGATACATGTTGGTACAAAAAACATTCATATATAATATTAATAAATTCATTTTCAACAGAATCTTCACCTACTAAAATATCACTAACGTATCCATTCGACCATTTTACATTTGGAAAATTAAAATCACCAATAATTAACAAATCTGCAAAATTATTTTTTTCTACTAATTTACAAGCTTCTGTGAATATTTGACTCATTTCAAGCATATCTACTTGTTCGCAACCAATTAAATATTTTTTATCATTTGCAACTATAATGATCCATATTTGTTCAATTTTACTTCTATTTAATATACCTTCGTTTACCTCATAAGATATTAGGTTGCTATCTATATATAGCGTAACCCCTCCTCCTCTACGCCCATCCCCCCTATTTCGTTTATACAAAAAATATCCTTCCAAATAAATTTCCGATGTCTCATTAAACCAGGTTTCTGTAATAGTAATTATTTGAGGATTTTTAAAACTGCATAAGATTTTAAATTTTTCAACTTTGTTTACTAAAGATGTTGCATTCGTATATAAAACATTAAATGATAACAAACTTACTAATTTTTTATGTTGTTGTGTTAAGTTGTATTTTTAATTTGACAATTCCATTTCCACGGATCGCATATCTAAAGGGCGATATATATTTATATATGCATATATATATGTATATATAAATATATGTATATATATATATATATATATATATATATATATATATATATATATATATATATATATATATATATATATATATATATATATATATATATATATATATATATAAAAGGTGTGTTTTTTTATCAGGTTGATATTCAAAACAATAATAGAGTGGTGACTTTTACTAGAAACTTCACAGTACAAATTTTAAATGAAGAATTAGATTCACTAATAATGTCATGCAATAGACATAAACTTCCTGTTACTAGTCTTTTTACTACATATTATCGCTTTTTTGGACATAAATTTGTGCTTGCTAATTATGGTTTTAACTCGCTTCAATCGCTGCTCTCTTCTCTTCAACACCCTTTTAAAGTAAGTTTTTTATTTTGTTTATATGTGTGTTTGTGTGTTTATATATGTGTTTGTGTGTATATATGTGTGTTTGTGTATATATATATATATAAATATATATATAATAATAGTTATATAGTTTTCTATTAAAATTTATCTTCGTATTTTCTGTAGGTGTTTAGAGTAAGTGATAAGCAAATTCTTACTAAAGTTCAAGCAGGTAATTAAAAATCATAATAAAAGTTAGTAGTTGGTTAAAGTTCTAAGTAATTTTGTGTGAAATCAAAAAGTCTTAACTAGTAACAAAATTAGGCACCTACAAACCTCTTTTCTTTTCACTACTATTTATTTTAAAGCCTTAACAACAAGGTTTTGCTTCTTACAACCTTTAAAAAATTGTCATTTCTAGAATCTAAATTAATGCTACATAAAATATTAAGATTAGGTATTTAAAATTGATGAGACAATGTCTTGATGAGTCAAGCTTGACAAGTCAATAACATTGATGAACTAACAACATCATAACTTAAACAAATTTATGTTTAGGAGTTAAAAAGAGTTCTCAATCAATTAAAGAATTTGCTGAAGAGATTATCTCTATTATAAAGGAATTACCTGAGAAGAGGGTAGCCATTAATATTCTGTCATCTGAATATCGTAAAAAGTATGGTCGCCAACTCAAACTAAACAAACTTGGATTCAGTACGTTTAATGACCTTGTTGGTGCATTATCTGGATTGGTTAAGGTGTATATTTGGTTATTTTTTTAAATTATATATTCTAGAAGAATCTTTATCAAACAAAAAGTTGGTTTTATTTATTTTTCTTTTTTAGAAATAAAAATTTTTAATTTTTATTTTGGTTGTTTTTATGCTGTAATAGTGACTCAAAAATTACTCCATCCACTTACGTGTCACAATCTTATTGACATTTACATGATCACTTGAATGGGTGGCATTAACACACACAGTATAACATTGGCACAAATAAAAATGTTAATTTAAATATAACTATAACTAGCTAACCAGACCCGTAAAAATATGGGTCTTCATAAGTCTTTTCTACACCTACCTTTTCTATACTTTTTTCTTTTATATATATATATATACAGGCCTTGCAATGAATAAGAACTGCGCGACGCATAAGAACGACGTGATTTTTGACGTCATTAAATTCTTTTTATTTGCTTTTCATATTTATCGACATTAACTGCACCAATTTACTTAATTACCGCAAAACTACTTTAAATCGTTTATGTAGAAATGTTATATGTTTATTTTCTTGACGTTTGACACGTTTTGTCTATACTAAACGAATAAAAAACATTATAACTAAACATTTAAAAAAGATTATAAAATATGCTAATATTTTTTTTTTTTTTTCTCTCAAATATATAGTTTAAAGTTTTTCAAATAATTATTTTTTCTTTTTAAAAAGTCACCGAGTAATAAACTGGAAATTTTAATATTGTACGATTAAAAACTGTGCAATAGCTAATATTTTTACTAGCGATTTTATATAATATTTTTTTATTTTTATTTATTTTCATAAAGCACAATCACTCGTATTAATAAAAAACTTAAATGAATATTTTTTATAGATTTTTAATGTTAACAAGGAATTTTATTTCTAGTAAAATAAAATAAAATGTTAGAATAAAAATCTTATAGGTATAAAAGAAATATTTCAGCGAAAAAATTATTCTTAAAAATTATTCGAAAAACTATTGACGTTCTATTTTTCAGCAGCTGTTCTTGAGCACGCTTCGTTGAGTTTGGGTAACTTTTAACATAAAAGCAATCGTTATTATTTAAGTAATTTTTTTGAGTTACTTTTTACAAAAATTTTAATAACTGTACTTTTTTATTGAATCAAGTAGAATACGTTTTAATATTAATCCTTTTTTATTTTTTTATTTGCCCTCACCAATTTTTAAAATGTTTCCTCGAAATTACTCTTAAATACTTTAAATACGTCTAACAGTTAATAAATATTTTTAAATCTATGGAATAATTTTAAAACCTAACAAACCCACGTAAAATAATTATTTAAGTTTAAAATCTAAAACTAAAAGAAAGTATTTTTGTTCAATTTTATTGACAACTTTGCTATTGCTGAATAATTTTAATTAAATGTTAGCTTAAAAGATTTAAACTTTTTTTTTAATTTTTGAATTTTTTTCTACTTATAAATAATGAGCACATTTAATTTTTTTAAATTCAAACTTTTATTTCAACTGCGTGCGCTTTTTAAAATACTTAATTAAATATTAAAATAATCGTAAATTACTTCATTAAAATTCCGCTCAAAAATATTTTTAAATATACTCAAACAAAAATTTTTTTGCTTGACGCAAATAGCCCTAGCTACACGCAAAATCGCTCTTGGACGACGTAAAATTCACATCGCCTGACGCTTTATCACAAGGCCTGTATATGTATATATATATATATATATATATATATATATATATATATATATATATATATATATATATATATATATATATATATATATATATATATGTATATGTATATGTATATATATATGGCAATGATAGTAATTGGATATTGAATCAATTTAGCTATAAATATAGTATAGTATAAGAAGTTTAGGTTTAATTGTTCAGACTATTAATTGTTCAGACATCGGCGCCGACAAAATTTATTGCTTTGCAGACGATTTTTTGAAATCAACAAAAAAAGTTTTAAACTTAGAAAATGTTTTAAGTAATATTTTAACTTACAATAGATTCTTACAATAATAAAAAAATATAATACTGGCGCCTATTAGGTGATTTCTTGACATTCAATTTCGTTGAGAATTGCACCTTCTTCAAGAATGTAATCAGTCTTGTCATTTGTGTCCATCAGCACGCTATTGGTATACAAGAATACCAGCTTTTTAACTCTCTCATTCGTAAGACCATTTCTTAAACCATCGTGTTGATACAGGTATGGACAATGAGTGAGAAATATTTTCTGCAATTCATCTTTCATCAAACTTTGCTTTCACGATGTGATGATTTTTCACATATTTGATGATTTTCTCTGCATCTTTGACTGTTTTTGTGGCCTCAGTTGTAGAAACTATGTCCTTCACAGCAAGTTGACTCTATGAGCTCCGCATCCGCTAGCCAAGATATGTGGGTATTTCTCCTCGATGATCCTCCATGCTGATTTCATAACAGGAGTGTTGTTGCTTATGAAACTGGTAAATTTTTGTGTGCCAATCTTCTCAATAACTTGTAAGATTGCCTTGGTGACTGCAGATGAATTTTGAATGATTTCGGATGTATTTATCGAGGTGTAAAAAAAAGGCTTCTGATCAGGCGTTTTAATATAAAAATTTACTATGTGATCGCCTCTTATGTTTGGCCAGCCATCAGACATCAGTATTAAGTTTGTTTCAGAATTCAAAATTTTATTTATAGAAGTAGAACATTTTGTGTATTGTTTGTCGAGCAGAGATCCTGATAAGGCTTTAGCATTCGGGATGACAGATGTGTACGATGGATTGAGCGACTTAATGAAATCCTTAAAGGCCTCCGGTTTGACTAAATGAAATGATATACCCATACGGTAAAAGGAATTAGCAAGCTTTGTGTCTATATAATTTTTGAGCTCTTCATTAATTGGTGGTGGTACACGCTGCGTCGGTGAATCAGATGTAAACAGAAGTTGTTGAGAATCATTGATTAAATGTGACGATTCATAATTACTCTTAGAAAATACACGATTTCTTGATTCTAAATCACTTTAAATTGTAGTAAGAAACACAAAAGTTTATATTGATTGATTATATGTAGCTCGAACCAAAAAGAAACAGACAAGTAATGAAAAACTCGCAAAAAGTAGATAATTATGCAAAAATAATTTCTGGATATTTTTCTCAACCTTAAGTTTTTCTGGATATCCAAAATGTTTTCCATACATACAAGTTTAGGTACATATTTTTGTAATATATTTCTTTTTTAAGCTTTTTTACTCGTTGCTCATACAGAATCATTTAGAATTAATGAAGTTAAAAATAAAAAATTGGAAACAACTCAGCTAAAATCAAAATCAAAGGGAATATAAGGGAAAATGTATTCCGGATTTTTTCCGTATATTTTACCGAAACAATTTCCGGATTTTTAAAATACGACCAGGATGATCTATGCACTCTACCATAAATGGAGGGTTCATCCATTGTATGGATGAGCCCTCCATTTATGGTGTTGGGAATGATAGGCCTGACATCTTTTACAAGTAAACAAATCTAAAATTACTTTAATTTACTTTTAAACTTTAAAAGTAATTTAATAAAATAGTAATGTAATAAAATTACAAATAGAAGAATGTAATAAAAATTATACATATTTTTAATCAAAATATAAAGCATAATCATTTCAATCAAACCATTTTTACTAAAATCAGAAGGCTAAAGCTAAAGAAATTAATATATATATATATATATATATATATATATTATATATATATATATATATATATATATATATATATATATATATATATATATATATATATATATATATATATATATATATATATATATATAGTTTTGTTTAATTTACTGTTAATAAATGCTTTAAAAATTTATCAAATGTTTAAAAAAATTTTTTAAAAAAGATATTAAAAAAATACTCAAAATATAATTATACTACTATTCAATTAAAAACTTTTAACAAGACAATAAAAAATTGACAGTTGCATTGACAACTGTATTTTTTTATATTTACTGGATAGCAACAGTAAATTTCTCTAAAACGGTTAGTCATAAAACACTTTGATGTTTATGGATTGTAGTATAATTCTATTTTAAAAAATTTTATCTGTAAAAATCAATCATTTAATATTATTAGGTTTTGTGCATTAATTAACTAGCTAATAAAAAACAAACAAATCTTAAAATTATCATCACAATGAGTTGCATTAATAATACTGCAAGAAGGTAATTTGTTGAGACATTAACAGAATTAACTCATGTAAAATGCAGTCTTATGTGCTGGTTATTACATATTAGAGTTCATAATAGTAGTTAATAGGCTATTATTTAATTTTGAAAAAACAAACAAACAACTTACATATCCATTTCCGCTTCAGCATGCTCTAAACTTAAAAGTTGAAACAATACTTTTTGCCATGGCTGATGCTCTGGTGGAGGATAGCTGATGCTCTGGTGGAGGATAGCTGATGCTCTGGTGGAGGATAGCTGATGCTCTGGTGGAGGATAGCTGATGCTCTGGTGGAGGATAGCTGAAAAGGATATTACAGTTTAAGTTATAGTAATAATATGTAGTTAATAAATTAATGTTATACAATTATGCTAATTATAATAAATTATTATTATATTTAAATATGAATGTTATTATAAAATTCACTTTCCAAAGCAATCAATTAAGTAAGAGCTTTACCAAGGAGATAATGCAAGCGATCATCCATTACAGTCTTTTGTGCCTCAATAATAATATTATTTTTTAGTGATTTTCAATTGCATCCAGTATTGACACAACCTAATAGAAGAAACCAAAAGACAAGTTTTTTAGTTCATCAACTAGTCAAAAAGTATAAAGCTGTATATTGCAACTAGAATATCCAGAATCTTTTAGCAACCATATTAAATTTATATTCAAATACTCACATGAAATATTTACACAACTTGAAGATTTAAAAAAAAATGGAAAAAATGTATATAAGTTAAATAAAATATAATAATATATTATGCAACAATAAAATATATAAAAAGTTAAAATACAATAAAGATATAAAAATTAAGTTTTTTGGACCTCTTGGTACATTTAACAGGACCACAGATGTTTCTATAGTATATCATAAAATCGTATACTAAACTGTTACTATATTCAATTCACAACAATAAAAAATAACAAAAAACTGGAATAATTTTTATTAAAAATAAATTGGATTAACATACCAATGAGGCCCCTACTTTGCGATTGAACAGGATTAGATTTTGAACATACTAAAGCTGCTTCTAATTTCTGTCTCTTAAGAGGAAAAAGCACATTAGGCGGATCTTTTTCAACGTTCAAAAACTGCGAATCTTCCATCAAACTAGCACCTACCTCCACCAGAAGTGGTAAGAAACAATTTATTTCTTCCACTGGAAAAACTTTGGAAGTTATAAGTTTACTACATTATATGGAAAATCTTTATTAAAAGAAAGAAAACAAAAAATGTTGTCCCTGTTTAAACAAATATTGTTTACTTAGAATGACGTTATCAACTTATCAAAAAATAAATTTGAAAATAAGAACAATTTTACATGAGAGTCAAATAAATTGTCTATTTTAACAGCTGTTTATTTAGATGCTTTAAAAACATTATACCTAGCAATATGAGCATCATAATGTATGGTATAAATTTAAAAAAGTTTTGTAAATATTTCATTATTATAATTTTGTTTGATCAATAAAAAAATCAAATCAATAAAAAAAATTAAATTTTTTGTTAATATATCCAGGTTAATATATCCTTTGCATGAGCATGCTTTCCTTTAAATCACATACACCAATAACATGGTGAAGGTCCAGTTGTAAAATTTTGGTAGGATAGTAATCGAGAAAATGTTGTTTTGGAATAACAGTATGTCCATAAAATATTTCTGTAAACAACTTGTGATGAACTCTAATCACCTCTGTTAAATAAGTTATTAAAAAATTTCTGTTAATAACTTGTGATGAACGCTAATCACCTCTGAATAGTCAATCTTGGAGCAAAAAGATTATTCCACATATTTCCAATAGTAAACGAATTAAATGAAAATACTGGTTATCAGTTTCTACAACATCAATAAAAAAATCCTCCTAAACACCAACTTTGAGTTGCATTCAACCTTTTGTCTTTAGAAACAAGTTTTTATGTGTTATTGGCACTGGCCTGTTTTTTTTATCAATCCCAAAATTAAAAGTTTGCAGATGGCCATTGAGTTCCTCAATGGTCAACAAGCCATCAATTAGTAACAAGCGATGAAGAACTTTTCAATTCGTACTGTAAGCAACCCTCAAGTATGTCATGCATTGAATCTGGGCAAATGTTATCAGGAACAGAAAAATACTTAAGCTCTGACAAGGGATTTTGTTTATATTTACCAGACAATTTAACATATTCAGTATCACTAAAAAGTACTTGACAATTGGCAATGTGGCGTTCTTCTTCATAAAAAGTGTGTTGCATTTGTTCTTTTGTTGTATAGCAGTAAAGGCAGCTCTTATTGGAATTAAAATTTGAACTAAATCCAGAAATCTGTTGCAATCCAAGATTATCCCCAGACCACATAACAACTGCACCAAATATGCAAACGTAACATCCTTTTATATATAATTTAACTCCTTTTTCTAGCACTTGTGCACAATCATTGTATCATAGAAGCAATGGAAGCACTTGTGCACAATCATTGTATCATAGAAGCAATGGAAGCACTTGTGCACAATCATTGTATCATAGAAGCAATGGAAGCACTTGTGCACAATCATTGTATCATAGAAGCAATGGAAGTCATAAAATGATTTCCATTGAAATGATCAAAAATAATATTACTATAAGGTTGCAATTTTTTTTTAAAAGATTGTTTTTTTTTTGGGTACAAGTTTTTTTTTTTGGCTCCAAGTTAATTAGACCCAGTGTATGAGTGGTACTTTCTTTTATTAAATTTTGAAAATACTTTATTTAATTAGGTTACTTTATATATTATCTTCTTTATATGTCATCTTTTTTTGTGTTGTATTCTTTTTTGAGAACCCAATTGTATTAATGTTGAATCCATAAAAAAAACAATGACTAATTATTTATTGAATGCAGTGTTGGTGTTTTTTTTTTTTTTTTTGTTTTTTTTTTTCTTTTTAGATTTTTTTTTTATGAAATTTTGAAATTTTTCACCATTTATAGTATTATATTATAATCTACTTTTATTTGTTTAACAGGTTGAAGTTGTTGATGAAACAAAATATTTATCATTGCTAGAAAACATTGAGCATCCTGCATTATGGCATGAAATTACACTTGTTATCAAAAAAATGCCATATTTGACCATTATGGCTTTGCATTTGCCAAATTATTACACAGAGATGTTTAGAAAACCGTTTCCCTTAGTAAACTTGAAAACAACCACTTTTTTTGATATTATTCCTCCTACATTTCTTGTATGGTTTAAGTTATTTATATAGTTATTTTTTGTTTAAACATGTTTATTCACTTTTAAAACTGAATTTTGTGTATTTTTATTATCTTTTACAATAGAGCATTGGGGCTGGATCTAATAGAATACTTATGAGTAAAGGTAGATTACATTTATATATATATATATATATATATATATATATATATATATATATATATATATATATATATATATATATATATATACACATATATATATATATATATATATATATATATATATATATACACACACACACATTAGTGATGTGCTGGGTACCCTGTTCAGACCCGGGGACCCGATAATTTGGCTGTTTTACTGGTTACCCGGAATGGGCTATTTTGTTGCAGTACCTGGTGTTAGGTATCTTAATTAACCTTAGATGCTGTAACTATTTGGTACTTTAAATTGTGTCAAAATATTGTTAAAAGGATTGCTTTTAGTTTAAAATTCAACTAATAAACTTCTTGATATAAGTCTAAGAATGTTATGTATTTAATAACCCAAAGGCCTATTTACTCAATATAGATATATCTCACTTAAAATAATTTTAAAAATATATTTTGGCAAAACCAAAAATCAGAATATGTTGCAAAAAGGAAACCGGTTTATATGGGTATTTAAATAACTTCATTTTATTGTGTGAGAATATTTTTTGAAGTTGATTGAGTTAATTTTAACTTTAAAGTTCTTGATGTTTTTGGCGTTAACAATTACATATGGCAAGTTGTTCCAAATATTAACAAACCTGAGGGAGAAAAAATATTTGCTAACAAAAAGTTTACACATTACTTTGCATAACTTGAATTTATGACCTCGAGTGTAAAGTTGTTTATTAAAAAGAAACTTGATATGTTTAGGCGAACTAAATTAGAATAAACTAACCAGCTTTATTTTGTCAAAACAATGCATGGCTAGAGATTTCACAAGCTTTTATTTCAACTTTTTAATATGGACCGGGTGCCCGGACCTGGACTCTGTATTTTCTGCTAGGTACGTAGAATTAGGGGCTCTGCATAAACTGGTTCTGACACACCTTTAATATATATATATATATATATATATATATATATATATATATATATATATATATATATATATATATATATATATATATATATATATATATATATATATATATATATATATATATTAAAGGTGTATTTCTTTTCTACAATTACTATAATGTGCGCTGCTCTAAAGAGCTAGCGTCTCTTGTGCCATCTAATAAAATTCATTCTCGTGTTACTTGTCACTCAATAAAGTTTCATCCTTTTTCTTTGACTATTCCTAAGTGCTCAAAAAACTCTTATTGTACTATTTTTTTTCCTAGAACATCAGGTCTTTGAAATTCGCTTCCTTCATCTTGCTTGCCTGATTCATATAGTTTGCAATCTTTTAAGTTGTCTGTTAATCGTTATCTTGCTCTACAATCTTCATCTTTTCTCTTCCAGTAACTTCCAAATCTAATTAGTGGTTGCTTGCAGACTTGTTGGAAGCGAAGATGTTTAAATATATATTTATATATATATATATATATATATATATATATATATATATATATATATATATATATATATATATATATATATATATATATATATATATATATATATATATATATATATATATATGTATGTATGTATGTATATATATATATATATATATATATATGTATGTATGTATGTATGTATGTATGTATGTATATATATATATATATATATATATATATATATACATACATATATATATATATATATATATATATATATATATATATATATATATATATATATATATATATATATATATACATACATATACATACATACATATATATATATATATATATATATATATATATATATATATATATATATATATATATATATATATATATATATATATATATATATATATATATATATATATATATATATATATATATATATATATATATATATATCAGAGGCTATTCTAGACCAAATTAAAATTTGAGGACCTTTTTTTATTTATGGTTTTTTTTTTACGTTTTTTTGGCAAATATTTACCGCTATATATGTGTGTGTACATATATATATATATATATATATATATATATATATATATATATATATATATATATATATATATATATATATATATATATATATATATATATATGATATATATATATATATATATATATATATATATATATATATATATATATATATATATATATATATATATTTAAACAATTTAAAATGTATTCTACAAAAAGAGTGCTCAATGTTCTTAAAAGAACAGAGCAATTACAAATTAGTAGAAAATCACTTAGCAAAATTTTTTCTCATTTAACACTGTGTTTCATCAATAAAGACTCATCAGAAAATCTATATATATATATATATATATATATATATATATATATATATATATATATATATATATATATATATATATATATATATATATATATATATATATATATATATATATATATATATATATATATATATATATATATATATATATATATATATATATATATATGTATATATATATATATATATATATATATATATATATATATATATATATATATATATATATATATATATATATATATATATATATATTTAAACAATTTAAAATGTATTCTACAAAAAGAGTGCTCAATGTTCTTAAAAGAACAGAGCAATTACAAATTAGTAGAAAATCACTTAGCAAAATTTTTTCTCATTTAACACTGTGTTTCATCAATAAAGACTCATCAGAAAATCTATATATATATATATATATATATATATATATATATATATATATATATATATGTATATATATATATATATATATATATATATATATATATATATATATATATATATATATATATATATTTAAACAATTTAAAATGTATTCTACAAAAAGAGTGCTCAATGTTCTTAAAAGAACAGAGCAATTACAAATTAGTAGAAAATCACTTAGCAAAATTTTTTCTCATTTAACACTGTGTTTCATCAATAAAGACTCATCAGAAAATATTATTTATAAGAGATCTGTTTTTTTTTTGTTAAGTCTTTCTTCTCAAAAAGGAGATATAGTACTTTAAGAGTATTACTTTTAGTTTCATATAATTATAAGTATGAATTTTTTTTTTGGCACTGCTACTAAATACTTTTTTTTAATATATATACATTTTAAGTAGAAAATGATCCTTCTGTCACCCATAATGCAAAATGTTCCTTCTGACATAATACAATATACGCTTTATATTCAATACTATCATTAGTATTAAATACAAAACCCCTTGATCTCTAGATGAAAAGGTTTGCATGCTTTTCAGGGATTTTCCCCACTCTTTTTAGTCCCATATGATTTAATTCATCTAAGATGAGTTCTACTAATTCACTTTTGCTCAAGTCACTGCTTTGTTATAAAGTCAAGTCAGACTTTAGAACAAGGAAGGTATTGGACTTATGTCTCAAAAATTTATTTTTTCTCTACCAAAAATCCTCATTCTGCATCTGAAACTTTTACTTTGTTTCTTTCCCTCATACATTATAAGTTGGGCAGTTTCACAATTATTCCTTATCCTAGTTTACAGACATGCAGTGTTTTGTCATTTGGTTTAGCAGGAATTGTGAGTGATTTCCACATATATACAGCTTTATAGGGAAGTGGTTTTTCTTTAAGAGACTCTAGAGCAAACAATATATTTATGGCATTGCAAAAAATTGCTTGAAATTCAAGGGTATATTGCTTAAATCATTGGAATTCATGGTATCTGCACATCTTCTCACTTACATTTGCCACTGGTAATGGTGGCTTTGATTAAATTTGGCAATAGTTAACAGTAAGTCTAGTTCTGTTTTTAATTTTTCACAATTTCTATGAATCTTTGTTGCGAATCCTAAAAGGATTTCACTTTTGCTATAGCATCGGGCTATAAAATAAAAAAAATAGATAAATAACTGCTTTTAGTGGCTGGTGAACTTTAACTCAGATAAAACTCGATCTTACTATATTTTTGAACAGTAATGTACTTGATGATTCATCTACCCTTCATATAGGATTAACTCTTACTTCCGATCTTTCTTGGAAATCATATATCAAATCCATTGCAAAATTAGCATCTGCATTCTTTATCTCTGTTATGGAATACTGTTGCCATATCTGGAGCAGATATTCGAATGATGCCCTTTCTCTTTTGGACACGGTGCAAAAATGCATTGTAAGCATAGTTGGACCTACTCTTGCAGTCAACCTTCAACCATTGTCACATTGTTGTAACGAACATCATGTTGCTTCTCTTTATTTTTTCGATAAATACTATAATGGACACTGATCTAAAAAGCTAGCGTCTCTTGTGCCATCTACTAAAATTCCTTCTCTTATTACTGATCATTCAATTAAGTCTCATCCTTTTACTGTGACTGTTCCTAAGTGTTCCAAAAATGTTTATTTGTCTAATTTTTTTCCTTGAACAATTTTTTTCTTTGAAATTTCTTTGTTTTTTTCTGATGTTTAATAAAAAAAAATTTTCATTGAACAGCTTACTCTTGTTTTTATATAAAATCTTTAAAGTTTTTGTTTTTCCAAAACATTTTTTTTTTTAAATCATTCTCTTCAAAACATAAATCTAAATAACTTAGCAATCACTTGGTGAATTTTAGTTTTTAGATTAAAAAAAACTAATAAAAAGTTTAAAACATTTTTAAATAATTTAATATTTACTAAAAGAATCAATTAATAAAATTAAGTGATATAATTAAAGTTTAATTTTTCAGAAGTGAAAATTTCTAAAGAATATCATATTTATTCAAATTTAAAAGTATTTTTTATTTATTCAATTGGTTTATTTTTGTAGAAAGTTGTCCATGTATATTACGTTCTATTTTGCTGGAAAACTTCTTATATTCTTGTGAAGAGTTTACATCGAATTCTTTGGAAATTTCAAATATTTTTAAAAAATTTGGTAATATATTGAAACCAGAAGAAGTTAAGGATATATTTGGATTATGCAGACATCCATCATTTAAGGTTAAATTTTTTATATTATATTATATTATAAGTTTTTTTACTATTGTGTATTTATTTTATATTATACGTTTTTTTACTATTGTGTAAGTATAAATATAAATACTTGTTAATTATTTTAAATTGTTTTTTAATTATTAAAATAATTTTGGTAATGTTGTATTTTTTTTAATTACAGCTGCCAATCATCATAAAAATTCTAAAATCTATCCAGTTTCTAAAATCTCCTATTTAGAACAAATAAGTTTCACTTTTCTTTTATTAAGTATGATAAAATCAATAAACATTATTGGCAGGCTATTGCCATTAATGCAATTTATGCAATATAAATTTGATCAAACTCCTTAAGTGTTGAAAATTGAACTTCAAGTTGAGAAAAAACTACAAAAGTGTGATGATTATCTTAGTTTTAGATCAAAAATCAATAAAAGTTGGTAGTTGCCATAGAACAGGCTTGGTCTGGAAGCGGATGTGATTGTAGTTGATAAGTTGATAAGCGGGTGTGATTATAGTTGATAACTGAACATGGAAATAATATTTAGTTGCGAAAAACCAGCTAGATTTTTTAGTTGTTTTGAGAACATTTAAGTTTATGTGTGTTTCCTTGTTTGTCCGCAAAATAATATTTAAGTTTATTATTTTATCGTAAATTTTAAAATATTTTGTTTTACGGACTTATATGGAAACATACATAAACTCGAATAATCTCAAACATCTTTGTGTATAAAAAATAAAAAAAGAATATTCGCGAACACAAAAGACCTGCCAAATCTATGAACAACTAATTCTATTGGTTCAAAAAATACTAGCCGAAATATCTAGAGTATTTAAAAAGTAGTAACCAAATGTTCTAGAGTATTCTGTTGAAATATTTTTAAAAATTATATTATTTGAGTTTTGTAATGTTTTCGTTAAGATTTCTAGCATAAATTATTTTAAGAACATACTATCAAGCGAACTATTATTTTAATACTATGGCTCATACTCGGAGCCACATCTACAAAGCTATAAATGTTTTAAACTAATATTTGTTTACAAAAATAAATGTTTTAAATTTATATTTTTTAACTTGTCAATGTTTTGTAAATATATTATAGATTTTATTAGTATATTCTTATTTTTTATATATAAGGGATTTATTTTTTATGTATGTAATCTATTTTTATGTATATAATGTAATTTTATTTATGTGTATTTTCTTCAAATGCAATCTTTTAAAGCGATTTGTGTGATCGATTTTGTAAACAAAATTACTTTCAATAATAACTGCGTTTTCAATGAAATTATTAATCATCAAAGTTAATACAAATAATTTTAACCACTAATCCAGTTTCCTCAGTGTACATGATACTTTGCATCAGTATAGTTGTTTTAGGTTGAATGTCATGGTAATGGAAAAATATTTGGCTAACTATTAGACCTTGTCAACCTGACAAGGAAACAATTGAAAACGAAATAAAAACCGCATCTTCTTGGGAGATTTTGGTAATTTTTTACTGAAACACCTTATAAAAGTGTGTTTATTATGGCGCATATAGGGTGTGTAAACTTGTATAGTGTTAATAAAACTAATCAATATATACACTGTGTGTATACAATTGTATATGTCACATTAATATTTTTAAAATATATATGTACTTATGCATTTTAACACTGGTTCTTGAGTAAAAAATATTGATATTTGAGTTTATTATCAAAAGTTTATAATTTTTTACTCAATTTAAATGTAAACCATTTGAATATAAATTTAAATTTATATTTTTAATAAATATAAATTTAGATTAGTTTAAATATGGAAAAGGTTTTAATTAAAATTATTTTATTAAGTTAGAAGAAGCCATAAAAAAGTAAACCTATCAGAATTTGTAAATGAAATTTCAACTAAACAAAGTAACTCTGTAGACCTTGATGAATCATTTTGCTCTCATTGCCATCAGAAGGTGGGTAAGGGTATCAGACATCCATGTGGACGGAGGGATAAAATTCGAAATCTACAGTATCTCATACAATCGAATCGTTCAAAGATTTCCCAGAGAGTTGTATCTTCTGTATTGAAGGAATTGGCTACAAAAGAGGGAAGCAAAACACTAAATCTTGCAACAAGTTTCATTTAAACTTGATTAAGTAAATTTTTAAATTAAATTATTATAATAAAATTTATTTTCTAAATAGGTGGTATTTCAATAAAAGTAAATTTGTATCCAAAACAGGCACCACTGAGGGAAATTTCTACCAACACGTTATTCAACATAAAAAGGAAAACAGATCTTCCAATGACAGCTATAGATTGTATGATGACTGAGATTACAAAAAACTTAAGGCGCAATGGTATTGAGTCAAATGCATCAAAGATCATTAAAGACAAGTCCTTTTTTCTTGAAAAGTATTATCACAATCAGACAATTGAATTTCAGCGAGGTTATAAGGTAGTTACTACATATTTTAAATTTCTTCAAGTATTATAAATATTCTTTTTTATAATATATCTTCTGAAAAAATTCTTTAGGTTGCTAAAAAAAAGGCTTTTGAACTAATTTCCAAAGATGTCGTGTATGTTCCTGAACCATGGAAACTAGTAGAAGAAATATGCAATCAAAGAGATCTGAAGTTAATTTATTAGAAACTGAAATAAATAATTTATGCATAAGCATTTTAATTTAAAATAAAATTCATTAAAAAAACATTATTGAATTTTTATTGTTAGGGGCAAGGCGGAAAGTTTGCCTGTTGTTATTGCGAAGGAATGAAAGAAGAATCCACCGGCCTATTAAGAACATTTCCAAGTCTTAATGATTGGCACCTAAAGTATGTAGAAGATGGCGAGCAATACAAGAGCAATACAAGAACATGCAGATTTACAAAAATGTTGTTGGTTGATGTTTGCTACAAGAAAATCCAGAGACTCTGGTAATTGACATAGTACTACCTCCTGAACTGCATTTATTTGAGCGATTCAAGTTACAGATGTGCTAATTGCTGATGAGTTCACTAAAAACTACTTGTTGAGTAAAACAGTTATCAGATATGGGTATAATGGAGGAGGGTATGATGGACCAAATTGTCACAAAGTCCTGTCATGTTTAGATGAATTTAGAGATATATATCCTCCTCACATTATACCTTGCATTGAAACATTAAGGAAGTTTAGAACAGGTAGCAATTAATTCTGGGTAGAATGTATACAAAAAAAAACAACCTATATATATAATTTTAAAATTTTTTCTTTTAGTCACTAAGAACTGTTTTGGAATGGAGCTATCACCAGATTTTGGCAAAGACATCAAAGATTTTGTAACCAAAATGTGCAACTTAAAAAACTATCTTAAGAATCATACAAATTACTCTCTTAGCCTGGGATAGAAATTCCACATAATACAAGTTTTATTGAAAGAAAACAAAGATCCTTGGGTGATTTCAATGAACAAACCTCTGTACACAAAAACGTAAATAAAACAATGAAGAGGTTTTCAATGTCAGAACTTAATAAATCACATGGAGAAAAGTTGATAAAAATGGCAGTCACATACTCAAGTATGAGAATTTAGAGAGTCAATTCAGACATTTTCCAATAAAAAAAGAACATGCATATGATTTATTTAATGATATTTAACTACATACAATGTTAAAAATTACTTAAGTTTTTAAATCTTGCCAATTTGCTATTATATAAAGATGTGTGTTATATAAATTTTGTCTTACTATTTTTCGTTGATTATTAAGATATAAAATTTTCTAAAACGGTTATTTATTAAACATCAATAGATCAAAGTAAAATTTACCAATGTATAAACTAATGTGTTTGCAATAAATAGTCATACTACACATGTCAGTGCATACACCCATTTTAAACACCCTTGTGCAGGGTGTTTCATTAAAAAATCATCAAAATCTCTCAAGAAGATGTGGTTTTTATTTCGTTTTCAATTGTTTCCTTGTCAGGTTGACATATAGTTAGCCAAATATTTTTCCATTACCATGACATTCAACCTAAAACGTCTATATTGATGCAGTAGATAACTGATTCTTTCCCCCAAGAAAAAAAAGTTTTTAAGTTCTTAAAAATTGGTTTACTAACTTCAATTATTTTTGCTTCAGCCATTCTTACAAACTTGTTATACTTAAACTCAAAGTTACTCTTTTCTGTTTTAAATACTAATTAAAATTATAAAGCCCACTCACTAAACATTATCAGCGGTATTGTGAAGCAGTTCCGCTTCCTCCTCACTTAGTAGTTTAAATTTTTTAGTTAATTTCTATCTACCCAATTGAATTTCTACATTAACTCAATGATTTAATTATTTCATTTGTTCATCTTACTAAGAAGAATTGTTTCAAATGTGTTAAACTTTTCAAACTACACGAAGCATAAAACAGTTATTAAAAAAACTTTTTTATTTATCATAAATAAATCATCTAGGGTTAGTTTTATTGGTTGAATCTTGTTGGACTTTTTAGGGGCGAGGGCTGCATTATTTTTATGTACCACAGCATAAAAATGACTAAAAAAATACCAAATGGTCCTCTTGACTATTTCACAGCCCCTAACATTGTGAGTCCCAGGATTATACCCCTTCTACACACACACACACACACACACATACACACACACACACACTCCTCCTTAATCCAGCACTGGAAATAAGACATAAGTATATAAATAAAAATTATATATATTCTTTGATTATTCTTTTCTTAAAATAAAAAATGTCGCCTAATTTTATAAAAATATATAAGAGCGACGTTTCGAAAATATTTGCTCTAATCATATTTATTTTGCTTAAAGTTTTTTCGTGTTAAAAGCTATTTTCTTTTTTTAACTGTCTCTCATTGGTCCAGTTAATCTTATTGCTTTTTTTGTTTGTTTTTGAAATGTTCTCAAAACGACTAAAAAATCTAGCCGATTTTACCCAACTAAATATTATTTCTGTGGTCAATTATCGAGTGCAATCGCACTTGCTTCCCGACCAAGCCTGGGCATAGAAGCATAAGAATATGATTCATAGACCAGATCCATGTTCTTAAAGGTCACGGCTGTTTCAGAGTGAGCTTTATGGCTTCTTATTTTTTTTTGAAAATTTTAACTTGAGGGATGTTACTAAAATATTTATAACTTTTGAAATATTAAAGATAATATTGTTTTGTAAAAGGAATAAAAACAACAATAAAATGTTTAATCATATGACATTTAATATAACAGTAAAAAAACTTCTTTTAGTTTAGAAAAAACGCGAAAAAAGATGAAATTGTCTGAGCTTTAGTAATTAGTTGTTACTTTTTATCAACAAAATAATTGAATATATATATTTCTAATATTTATGAACAAGTTATAAACATTATTAGAATATTATAAAAACAAAAAAAATATCTCTCAAACTTTATGTTAATTTAAACAGAGATAATTAAGTCATAAAACAAAATCGCAAAAAATATTAGAGAAAATGTTTTAAAGTTAATGTGCTCATTGCTTTTTTGTTGCTAAACATGCCAAGTTTGAAAACATATTCGCTAACATAGCAAAAGGTACATAAAATAATTTTTATATTTTCATCTGCATAAAAGGTCGAAATTTCAATAACTTTCGCCATCCATCAATAAAATTGTATTTTACATTTAAAAGAGGTAAATTTAAATGTATAAATGCATTAAAAATTGAGTTATAGTAAAAAAATCACCATGATGACGTAGGAATCTGATAGAATAGACATTCATTGATAAGTGTTCCAAATTTCAACCATCAATCATGTAGCTATGTTAGCGAATCTTGGTTGGCCCAAGACAGGTTTTCCGTAAAAAATTGCCAAAAACAGAAAAGTGATCCAAAATCATTTAAAATATTTTAACAATGTTTATTTTTATTTCGTTTAACGTAAATATTTACTTAATGAAGAAAGATTGTTCTTTTATATTTTTTTTTATTCAAAGATGAAAGCATTTATAGAAAAAAAATACTATTAATTTAAAGTTAGTGGATTTTTATACTTTTTATGCGGAAATTCTTTTTTTTTTTTTTAAACACAAAAATTCTTGTGACGTCAAGCTCGCTTTTATATTGAGTGAAACAGCCATGAGGTAATTTAATATATGGCCTATAAAAATATGGATCTGGCTTGCAAAGATAGTTTCTCTAAAAAATTTGAACAAAATTGTGTTTGAACAAAATGATATGAAAAAAAAACAACAGGTTTTCGAGGTTTTATCATTAGTGGATATTAGAGATAAGGTTTTATCATTAGTGGATGTTAGAGATACTGAAGCTCTGTAGTAAGAATATAAATCTGCATTGTCTCATATATGTATATATATATATATATATATATATATATATATAAATATATATATATATATATATATATATATATATATATATATATATATATATATATATATATATATATATATAACTATTTTTAAACTATTTTAAAATCTAAAAAGTAGTGGTTAAGTTATCACAAAAAATAAATAAATGCGTCGTCAGGAATATAGTGTGATCGCACGCCTTTCCTGTCCAGGATTAATATATATATACATACATATATATACATATATATATATATATATATATATATATATATATATATATATATATATATATATATATATATATATATATATATATATATATATATATATATGTATATATATATATATATATATATATATATATATATATATATATATATATATATATATATATATATATATATATATATATGTACATGTCAGTCAAAATATATTGGTGATGAGATCAGCTAAAAAACTAATTTTGCTTTGCTGAAAAACGACATGAGGTTAAAAAAATGTTTATCTTTAGTTTTTATGGCTTGTTGAGTTGTTGGTTGTATTAAAAAGATTTGTTAAAAAATAGACTTGTGTCAGGGTTTCCAATTATTTAACAATTACTGTTTGGATATTGAATACATAATATTCAAAATATTAAAAAACTTGCTTTGTTTCTGTAAATTTTGGTTTTGTTGTAAGATATTGAAATATTTTAATTATTTATCTTTGTGTTTATGTTTGTTAAAATCATGAAATGTTTTTTTAACAATTTTCTAGTTATGTTGTTTTAATATTGAGCATGGGTAATGAAATCATCATTTTCAGTTGTTGACTTTCCAGCAGACTTTCACTTGCAACTTCTTTTATACTTCCTCCATCTCAGTATGCTCAGTAATGTTATTGTCGTAACCAAATATATGAATGATTTCAAAATTTCCTGCTGCCAATGCAATGCAAATATCTAAATATTTAGAGGAGTGTGGAATATTCCCTAGTACTAAGAAGACTATTGGTGTCATAACTACTTTATCTCAACATCCATTCAAATTTTTTCATTTTGACACATTTTTACTTATATTCATTTGTAACTGATCTAAGCTTTCAAATGTAAGTTTACAAACAGCTTCAGTAGTCAAAAGGGTTTGGTAAAAGGGTTGCTAAATTTTTACTCAACTTATTTATTGCAGTTGCAATCTTATTCTCCTCTGAAATTTTTGTTGTTCTTGTTAAGTTTTGTTTATTTTATTTTAGAAACTTATAAAAAAATATTTTAGGAAGTATCAAACTTTCTAATTCAAAATCAGTTAAAGATATTATTCTTCATAATTTCAAAATAATCATGGTATTTTCTTGCCTTGTTGTTAAAGGTGTAAACCACCATAATCGTTGTCAGTGATTGCATCACAATTCATAATTGGTGAACATTAGTTAACAGAAAGTGCAACATATCGGGATTGAAGCAAGAGTTGGGTGGCCGCCAAACATTGACTTTGTGTGCTACAAATTGCTTAACATAGGCTTTGTCTGAGAACTACCATTTTTAAAAGCTGTTTTTTTTTTGCTAAATAATTGATTTACACAAAATTTTAATCTATATAGAGTATATGAGATATTTTTCTATATATATATCAGGGATGCGGAGTCCCAAAAGGACTCCGGCTTTGTATCTCCACTTTTCCAAGTCTGTAGTGTCCAGAGGCTCTAAACATTTTTGTTGACTTATGTTCTGCTATAAGAAAAAAATTCATGAGATTTAATGACTTGATACCTATTGTTTTTAAGCCGGGAGTCCTGGAGTCCCAGAGTCCTCGCCGCCATTAAATTTAAAGACTCCGGGTTCAAAAAATGATTGTTCCTCTAACCTAAAAGTCATAATTTTTTTCCTGTTATTAGTCCAAACTTGTTTATATTTTTAGAGCTCTCCTGGATACCAAAAAATAGGATAAAGTATTCTTTTTGTGACTTTCAAATCCGGAGTTCTTTTTGGAACTCCGCATCCCTGATATACATACATGCATACATGTATATAAATACATGCATTATAATAATAATAATATACATATTGGTTGATAGCTATGCAATCACTCAAGCAACGTGATTGTTTAGTGTGTTGTCCATGCATTTTTATTTTTTGTATTGATAATAGAGAGAGAGAGAAAGAAAGAGAGAGATAGTTGCCGTTAAAAAGATCTATATGTGTATATATATATATATATTTATATATATGTATATATATATATATGTATATATATATATATATATATATATATATATATATATATATATATATATATATATATATATATATATAGTGTGTGTATATATATATATATGTGTATATATATATATATATATATATATATATATATATATATATATATATATATATATATATATATATATATATGTATGTATATTATATATAGCAGGCGCCAAAAGATCTAAATGTGTGAATGTGTATTTATGTGTAGGTAGTTAACAATGGCATTACTTTGGCGCAGTCAGCTGCTTGCAAGATGTTTGAGCATGACATCATTAGCTTATTACATGAGGAGCCAGAGCTAAATTTAAAACTGAAGGATATCATAGGGAAATATCAAAAAAAGTTTGGCAAAACTTTGAAAGTTACTGATTTTGGATATACTACTTTGCATGCCTTATGTGCAAATCTCACTGGAGGGATTGTTGTGGTTTGTATATATTTTTAAAAGATGCTATAAATATATATCCCTGCAGTTTAATATAGTTGTGATATTTCTATATTAAGGTGAAGAGAGTTAATGAAAATGATAATGAAAACTTGGTTGAGCTTGGTCCACTAGGGAAGATTTACTTCAAATGCAAAAGTGTTGTTGATTTTCATCATGGAACTCTGATGCTTTGTAACTTTGCCACAGAATATCATAAAATGCATGGCACACAAATTAAACTGGCAGATTATGGGTTCAACAAAATATTGGACCTAATAAATTGTTTTCATAAAATATTTTTAGTTCACACTGAAAAAAATATGAAGTTAATAATTTCAATTGAGCACCTGAACAATTCAAGTGGGTTTAATCAAGGTATGTAAATTTTATAGCATTTATTAAAAGTTTGTTATCAGTGAAAAAGAATATATATTTTATCTAAATAACAATAAAGTTATAATCTTATATATATATATATATATATATATATATATATATATATATATATATATATATATATATATATATATATATATACAGGGGCTATTCTAGGAAAATAATTTGGGCGGCGGTACCCCTCTGCCTCACTCCCCCCCTCTTAAAATTTAAGTAATGGGGGGGGGGGGGGGCCGAAACATGTTTAGAAAATTTCAAAATTTTTGTTTTTAGATAAACAAAAATTTAGTTAGTTTTTAGCTTTATTATTATGTTTAAATGTATTTGAAATAATTCACTATAATTCATTCCTGTTAAAATGATCTGTTACATAAATTTTATAAGGAAGTTGCTACCTAAAAATAAATATTGCACAGAAGTTTCACTGAAATAAAAATAAATTAACAAATAGCCAAATTACCTTAAATTTACTAGATTGCAAATGTTTATGGGGAAAAAAACCCACATATTTACTGCAACAAACTTACTAATCTCATTGAGTCCATAACTTATATGTATAACTTCCATGTATAAAATAATTATTGTATGAAACTGCTGTTGATGTAGTTAATAAAAAAAAATCTTTAAAATAATTATTGCCATATTTTTGCCAAAAATTAAAACAAATAAATATAAGCTAAATAAAAAAACATTACTACTTTAATCAACCTAAATGCGTTTACTAATGTACGAACTTTAAAAACAATGGTACTGGTGGTCCGGTGAATATACGCGCTAAATTAAAAAGTTTTGTCCAAGTCTCTTCAAAATAAAAAACCATAAATTGAAACTTATTTTCATATTCATTTATTTTTATATAACGGCTGCAAGACAACGGATCTATTCAAAATTAATGCCAAATAAATATATATATATATATATATATATATATATATATATATATATATATATATATATATATATATATATATATATATTTCTCTATCATATTTATAAATATTTACATATATGTTAAATAAATTTAAAAAAAAGGTCTTCAATTACCTGAATTTGGGCGGCGCCCAAATATGGTCGGCGCTGTCGAAAACGGTCTAGAATAGCCCCTGATATATATATATATATATATATATACACACACACACATATATATATATATATATATATATATATATATACACACATATATATATATATATATATATATATATATATATATATATATATATATATACACACACACACATATATATATATATATACATATATTTCTTTTATAGCTGATTTAGATGAGCGTATGCTCACTACTTTTGCTTATCTTTATAGCAAATGGTGTTTTCAGAAAAAGAAGGAAAAAAAATGAAGAATAATGAGAATAAAAGATTGCCGCCCCACCCCAAACCCTCAGTCAATGTTGCAGTACTCCGCTGCGAGTCAGTTTATTTGTCAGTCGATGTATGTACTGAAACCCTTGGCAGCAGGCTATTTTAGTGTTCTCAGCTAAATAAGCAATTTAAGTTATATATATATATATATATATATATATACAGCGTTTTCAAAAAAAGAAGAAAAACAAAGAATAATGAAAGAAGAGATTGTTACCCTGTTTCAAACCCTTAAATTTTTAAACCCTATAGCAGCACTCCTTTGCAGTAGCAGGCTATAAAATAGTCGATGTATGTACTAAAGATCCCACCAGTAGACCATATATATAAAATTATGCAGTAGAATGTGTGTATATATATATATATATATATATATATATATATATATATATATATATATATATATATATATATATATATATCAAGCCTTTCCAGAAAAGGCGTGCGGTATTTTGTCTGGTACAACCACAAAAACAAGAGACCGTGATCACAGCCGTTTGCGGTGTTTTTTCTTTTAAAGAGGAAAGAGAAAGTATGTATCGTCATCTGTTTGTAAAATATATTTGTATAATTATAATGTAACAAGTTTATATCAAGAGTTAAATTATACGATCGTGATTTGCAAACTCTGGTAAAATATTAGGTCTTTAAAATTTTAGTTCATGCAAAGCTGTGTACTTTGTTTGCTAGCGAGAAAGTTACAAAATACAAAACAAAAACAATAAACTTACTACTACAAAAGTAATAAAACCTTAGTCATTAACTGCATTATAAAAGTAATAAAACTATAATAGTGTTATTACATTTATAAAGCACTTATTACTTTTAAAGTTCATTCTTTGTTCAAACAACATTATTAATTCCAAACATTTATTAAAGTAGAAAAGCATCTAGAAAAAATAAAGCGGATATTCAAATATTATTAAAAAATTCAGGAACTTTCACATATCACTTAAACAACATTACTTTATAAAAAGTATAGCATTATGAAAAATGTTACGTAAAAACGCTCGTTAATTTTAAAATCAACCAATAAAAGTTTTTTATTGGTTAATTTTAAAATTAACGCGGGTTTTTATGGTCCATTAGTTATGTTTTTCATAATGCTAAACTTTTAATACAATGCGTTTTCATAAAGTTGTTTGTCACGTTTTTATAAGTTACTTTAGTTTTAATATTATTTGAACATTTACTTTATTCTTCTAGATATTTCTACTTCAAGTAAAATTTGGGATAACTAATGTTGCTTAAACATAGAATGAATTTAAAAAGTTATAAGTGCGTTGTAAAAGTAATAACACTATTATAGTGTTATTACTTTTGTAATGCAGTTAGTGACTAGAGTGTTATTACTTTTGTAATGTAAGTTTATTGTTTTATTTTTTATTTTTTCGCTAACAAATTTAAGTTGATTCTCCCCTTAAAAACAAGGAACACGGTTTTGTATAAACTAAAATTTTGAATACTAGATATTTTTTCAGATTTTGCGTTTTGCATTTGCTTAATTTAACCCTTGTTGCTACATTAAAATTATAAAAATAAATTTTACAACACATTGCAATTTTTATTTTTGCTATCCTCTTAAAAAAAAAATTAAGAAAAGGAAAATCATTTTTATTATTGTAGAATTCAAACTGTTTTTTTTTTTGTTTCGCCTGACCTATTTTTGTTGCTGAATGTAAAACTAAAAAGAAACAATAATAAAAACAGTAAACAAATTATTTAAATTATTAATTTGTTTTTATTTTTTTCTATTTCTATCTCTTATGGTCATACAAGACAAAAAACTGTGTATATATATATATATATATATATTTATATATATATATATATATACCCATTACCTGGCCACAATATTATGATCACTTCAGCCTTTCCACATATTTTGTTTTCAAAGTTATATTAAAGTAATTTTAAGGTGAGTATATTATTATTACTAACTTATTATACAATACTGATATCTATTGAATAAAATAGAAAAGAAAATTTATTTATAATCATGACCAATGTGAAGTTAGGTGTGTTCTAAGTCAGCAATTCAAATTTTTGTCAATTTTAAAGAAGATGTGGCTGATCTGTCACAAACTTTTTTTTTTATATTTTAACAGTGTTTTTTTTAGTGAAAAGTGTTTTATTATTTTTAATACATTTTATAAAGTCCGAGTTCGATCCCCACCACGTCCCTGGTAGTACTGCGCTCAACTCGTTTCTCCGCGCAGCGGCCTTGTTCGTCAAGGTTCGTGTTTCGGAGTTATAGAGTTGAGAGAGGGTTATAGCCACAAATAAGTAGCCTCCTCGTCTGTAGTGGCCGTCTCGGCCTTGAGGAGGTGAATTAAAATAAAAAAAAAAATAAAAAAAAAAAGTTACTATAAATAGCAAGAATTAATATATAGTACCATTTTATTAACATTTTTAGTGTAACAGGTTGTAATTAAAAATTTCAATAAAAAAAAAAACATAGGTAAGGATATGAGTCCAAGCAAAATTTCAGAAGTAAAAGCACTTTTACAACATTCAGAGCGTTCACAATGGGAAATTGCAAAAATGTGTAAAGTTTTGCAACCTTTTGTCGATAAAATCAAACACAAAATGGAAAACAACATCACTCTTTTTTCAAAAAGGTAAAGACAGAGTGGGTCAAAACGTAAAACCACTCCCAGGACAGACAGAATTTTAAGAGAAATATGTCTGGAAAATAGAAAAAACTCATCTCTCTTGTTGTCAAAACTTGATCAGCAGTATGGAATACAAGTTTCGGAGTGCACAGTGAGGAGATGTCTGGCTGAGGTTAGTTTAAAAACACACAAACTGTTTAAAAAACCAAGGCTAACTCCAGCAATGATAAAAAAGCGATTGCTAGGCAAAAAATCATAAGTATATGACTATTGGAGATTGGGAACGTGTAAGTTTATTAATTTTGAATTCAATGTTGTTAAACAAGTGTTTAAATGTTGACATAAACTTGATTACAACCTCACTATGATGATTTTTTCAGGTGTGTTTTTAAGACGAATCAATTTTTAAGATGTTGTTGGACAAAACCACCTTTGTTCGAAGAAGACCAAATGAAAAATATCATCCAGATTGCATTGTACAAACATCCAGCTAAAGGTATGGTGTGGTCAGTTATCAGTGGTAAAGGCACAGGAAGACTATATAATGTCAATGGTATAATTAACCAGTATACTTATACAGTATCAAAAGGTTATGGAGAGCCAATTTATCCCCCAAATACAAGAATGGTTTCCAAATAACAGAACGTTTATGTTTATGCATGATAGTGATCCATGCCATAAAGCTAAAAGGATCACAAACTTTCTTAAAGCAAAAAATATCCCTGTTTTAGATTGGCCAGGAAACTGACCTGAATATGATTGAGAATTTGTGGAACATTTTCAAAAAGGAAATCTCTACTGAGGTTTCAACAAACAAAAAGAATTTGATTGAAAAATTACTCTATCATTGGCACCACAACGAAAAAATTAAGACAGTAGCAATAAACTGTATTAAAAGTATGCCAGACTGAATAGCTAAAGTCATTTTGTTGAAAGGTGGCATGACAAAGCATTAATATTTTTTTATGATTTGCAATCAAAA